CACACACACACACACACACACACACACACACACACGTCCTATGTGAGTATAGATAAGATTGCACACTATTTTTTCAGGACCATTACAGAGTAGCTAGTTTAAAAAAAACCAAAACAACAACTACACAAAAAAAAACACTTTTACTTGTGCCAATTTTCAGGTATGAGCTGCTGTATGGAGGTCTAAAATGAGGGGCTGAATCAGCAAGGAAACACAAAAGTTATTGAGACAATGTAAAAGCAAGCCACAAAACATACATTTATATTTAAATTTAGATTTTGCACTGTACTACATTATTTTCTGACAACTAATTGGCATAAAACTGCATAATTACATTATCACACCATTTTGAGAGTGAAATTATGGGTCTTATGGCATGTATGATTAGCCTTACTGAAATTATTTTACAGCTGCACTGCTACCAGTATTAATGTTTTACAGCTCTACTAAACTAGCAATTTAAAGTAGTTTAATTTAGCTTGAAAGCATTTCTCAACTTGTCCAGTCCCACAGTTAAAATTCAATCAAGTAAAATAATTGCGTGGGCAAATAAGAGACTTATTAAGCTATATATGCGATTAATTGCACTCCAACGTTCCTGGTTATTTTCTTTGTGAATGTGTTTGAAAGTGAACATTTTTTTTGACAATGCAAAAGACTGTCATTAAATGTCAAATTTAGTTATTGTGTATGACGTGTAAGGTCAGATAGGATGACTCTTCAAAGACAGATGATGACAACAGGATACCACTATACTGTGGTATGATAATGGGGCAAAGAAATGAAATGTTCCTAATAGCCAAGTGTTGGAGTGATATTTCACGATTGTCATTTGTACTTAGGAACATATAATCAATAATATTTGGAGTTATATAATCAATTGCATATTGATAGGATGTCTGATCCTTAGCAGTCTGCGAAGACTGTTCTCTTTCTGATTTATACTATGGGAGGACACCTACTCTGTATCTGCTTAAGTGTAAGAGCCCTTTGGTTAGGTGGACCGCTGGACTCCTGTCACCAGCTTTTTAAGGAGGCGTTCACAGGGCCATATCTTGACACACACACACACACACACACACACACACACACACAAACAAACACACACACACACACAGTGCTCTTTGTTCACATATATGCCTGTGTAAGATGTCACATGTTAATAAGACTATGCATATTCATGTGTGTAAGCAATAAAAGCAGCCTGCAGGGGGACGCAAGTTGAAGTGGGTTGGAAACAACTGCTTCCCTCTCGCGAGTGAAAACTTGAGCTTTGTGTGACCTCGTTCCTGACTGAGTTTCTGTTTATCCAGCAGTATCAGGGGTAAAGCTCTGACACCAAGTCAGTCACCTGATCCAAATCAAAATATCCACAAACAACGCTATAGGCTGGGCACAGGGGGTTATGTAAAAGTAGAAGCCCACAACATTCCAATGAATTCTACCTAAAATGCATATCGCAGGCATACAGTAAACTGAATACTGTTCTTGAACCGTCTAACATTCATCATTTTGAAATGTAGCATTTTCTTCTTCTAGCACTGAATAATTAAACGTAGAACAAAAAGACTTTAATTTTGGCTTTGCTTTGCCTTTCCTTTTTTTTTTTTTAAAGATGCCTTCAGATGACTAATGAAACCATACACACTGCAAAGTAAAAAAGTTAAAAAAAAAAAATCTATCCTATGTCAAGGATACAGCAGTTTGTGAAAAAAAAAACAAAAAAAACAACAATGTTGTTGGGAAACTTCAAAAGACCCTTGGTAACAATAGAAAATGAAGCATAAACAGGTGCACATAAGAGAGTCATAAACAAGTTGAGTGATGCAAAAAAGAAACTTATGTGAAAAGTAACACATTGTAGTGCTTTCTTTGCTTTTTGAAACTTAACTTTGGGCAATACAAAATGTTAAATATAAGAATCACATCAATGTGTCACCAAAGCACTAGTTGTTATATGAGAGTCACAACACACACTTTGGCGTGGGCATGGAAATGAATCTTAACCAAGCGTGCATGTGTGCGTGTTATCCAGTGAGTAAAACGCACAAATGGTCTACAGATATCCTGTTTTATCCATCTCCTTTTGTATTACTAAATATGAATTCCTTAACCTCTCTGTAACACACACACACACACACACACACACACACACACACACACACACACACATACACACGAAAAACTATAGTTCATAGGGTATGGAGCAAATTGTAACACTAGAAGTAAACCTAGAAATAAATATTTTCTATGTTCACAATTTTCCATTTTGCTCTCACTCTCTTGTCTCATCATATCTATTTCTTACTTAATCTCCAGTTCATTCTGTGCCCCTGCTTTTCTTGTTTCCTGAATTCTTTTATCCTCTTGTCAAACACCTCACTGTCATTTCACATTGCTTTCAGCGCAAAGCCACTACAGTGCTAAGAACTGAGTGTCATGACTTGTAAAATAAATACAACAAAAGTTACTTTACAACAAACCCACAAAGATCTTACTAGCAGTGCATCCCAACAGCACAGGAAGATAATTTGAAGAGATGTGATTAGACAGCCAGGAGTATGATGCATGACATATAAGGCAAGTGATTCATCCAGCAATGACCATGTAGAAAGAGGTTAAGTGGGGCATGAAAGAGGCCAGTTAGTTTCTTAGTCATCTAGTTGCACAACCATACACTTACTCTGCCAGCCATAAAACTGTTAGAAAATATATCAGTAAGTGAAACAAGGGACCAGTTTGTGAATTAAGAAAGCTAGTTATAAATTAATCTGTCAGCTATGTAGTGTTGAATCAAAAGCTGACATGGTCAACTTTGCAGCTGATAACACTTTTGCATCACTTTGTTTGACAGAGGTTAAAGTTCCCACCCAAAATAAAAAGGCAGCAAAGGTTTTCTGTGAAGAAGAATGATGTGAGAAAGATTTTCGAGGAACATTTTAAAGACTGATTTGACTCGTTCAGTCATGGCTGCTACGAGTTTTATTTTTGTATTTTTTTCTTAATAAAAGTCCTTCACCTCTCATTTGAAAAAAAAAAAGCAGTTTCTACTTTAGAAAAGCCACAGAGGTCAATTAGTTTAAATCTCTATTGTGCCACTTGAAATTCTCATTTTGATTTTCACTGTTTAAAAGATAAAATGCACATGCAATTTATTTTTTTTTGTCATTTCGAA